CCATGCCGGGCTAGGGCGTCAGGGTGCAAATCGGGCTAAGGAGGTGGGTTTCCCCAGCAGAGAAATCCACCCGCACCCCAAAACCCCAAAACCCTTGGGCAGAGAGGGCCCACAAGCTGCCCCTTGGGAAGGAGGAAGGTCGGCTAGTGTCCCGTTGTCTGTCCATCCCATCCCTGGAGAACCAGAGACGCGGGGGGGGGGGCCCCCCTCCCCATCCCCGGTAGCTCAGACCCGGGTTAAACAATCACTAATTGATCGCACCTTCCCTGGTCTGACCCGGGGGAATATTTAAGACCCCCGCACACCTGAGGAAACAGGCAAAATCCAAGGCCCATCTGTGGCTGGCGGAAGCAATTGCTTTGCTCGGTGCCGACCCCCGGGCCCCCCACACGCGCCGCAGGTGGGTTTGGGGGCCCGGTTCGGAGGATTAAAACAACTCGACCTTGGTATTCGCTCTCCTGCGGCGGGGGGTTCTCGACCTTTCAGGCGCCTAATCCCGAAAGCATTTGCTCCACATTCTTGCCCTAACCCAGGTCCGCGAGGAGGGGAGGGGAGGGGACGCGTCGCGGAGGTCCGAGGGCCGGGGTCCCCTTTGGAACGGGCGCTCTTGGCCGGATCCCGCCCGCGACTTGCGCCTTAAGCCGCGGCGCCCCGAATCCACGCGCACCCGAACGCTGTTTCCCAGGGCGCCTTCGCCTTGCCGTTTGGGGAGCGTTAAAAAAAAATCAGAATATAAGTAGATAAATTAAAAACTCCGCAATCGGGAAGAACGGGAAGGTCTGGGCGGCCCAGGCCAGCCCGGCCACCGCGGTCCCTGAGCGACGCCCGTCGCTTTATTGGCTAGCCCGGTGCCACCGGCTCCCAGCCCGGCGCGGGGACGTCCCCGGGGGTCCTGGATTGCCCAGCGCGAATCCCGACGGTCCGCCCCGACGTTCCCCAATGGGAAACGGCTTTTCCCGGGGTAAAAGAGATTGACCCGCGGCGCCCAAGGGGACGTAGAGTGGTCGGGACGCGCTGTCAAGGGGACGTAGAGTGGTCGGGACGCGCTGTCGGACCCCCCACCCCCACCCCGCGGCCTCCGAATCGAGAGAAATCCGCCACGTCCAGCCGTTTTCCCAGCCTTCCAAGAGCGCGAACGGACGACGAGGCTGGAGGGATGAACTCGGGGCGCGCGCGGGGCGCGGGCGATGCCTGGGTTTTCCCGCTTGCAGCCGCAACGTCCGCCAGGCTGGGGGTGCAGGGTGCACCCTCCTGGGTCTCCAGCCTTTGCCCGCACCTTGCAGGGGTGTCCAAAAGCCCCGACGCGCGCGCACTGTGCGCCCGGACCCGACCACACGCAGGGGAACAGCGCCTGGAAGCCGCTGGAACCCAGACCCGCCGTCTGTCCCCCGGCTTGCGGGGACCCTGCCCCGGAGGCCACGAGGCCACGCTGAAGGACACCCCGCGGCCCCGAGCGCCACCAAGGACGCTTTATTCGGCCCGTGTCCTCCTAGGAACTGGGGACCCGCAAAGCGACGGGCGCCCGCCCCGTCTGCCCGATCCGGAAAACGCTACATCCGCGCGCCCCACGATGAGGGTCGCCGCGTCTCTCCAAATGCCCCCGTCGCGGGCGCGGCTCGGAAGCCCGGCAAGCGGCTGACTGGGGCGGGGGGTGCCTCGCTCAGGGAAACCCACCCGGATGGACCCCGCAAGTCTCGAATCCGCGCTCCGAGAAGAGGATGAACCGTGCAAGTTGGTTCCCGCTCGCTGTGTTTGCGGAGACGTGCGGTTCGGGGCAGCTTTGCGGTACCGGCCCGGCGCTGCGGTGCGAGTTTCTGTCTCGGCATCTGACAGAATCACAACCTGCCGCTCTCTCCAAACAGGAAAATAAATCACTGGTGTTTCCAGCTCCAAGGAGCCAACGCAGGAAGGGAAATAATTGCAAAAATCACTGCTCCAGAATTTGAAAACCCCCAAGCTGGGTTGGGGGGGGGGGGGGGCGTGAGGGCCCCCTAAGAAATAGCCAGCGGGAAGAACGAGAATGTGGGAGTCAGGACTGAAGATTGGGGGTACGAGGAAATGTGCCCCGCACACACACAGAGGAAGCCTGGGAAGGGAAGAAACGGGGAACAGATCTTAGCGGGTGCAAAATCAAAGGCTCATTGGGCACGGCTTTTGGGGTCCCCACGAGCCACAGGAAGGAGTTAATTCTTGAGACAAGGAAACAGAGACCTGAGCACCCCCAAGTCTCACCTGAAGTCATGCCTCTTTCATATGTGGGGGGCACACCAGGCACCCCCAAACCCCACCTTCCAAAATGTTCAGCACTTCTGCCCCCCATCAGGCGGCCAGCAGAACGGAGACAGGGGATGATAAATTGGGTCTTGGGGTTGGGGGTCTCCGAGAACTGGGGAGGGGGTGGAGGACCCCACGGAACAGAGGCAGCTGGGAACTCGCTCCCCTAAACTAAGAGCCAAGAAGCGGGGTTCCACCGCAGGATGAATTTTTCTTCTGCCCTTCCCAAGTCACCCCTCCCCAATAACCCCACTGACCCTTCTAGAAGGACCTGGTGGTGGGTGCCCAACCTGGACATACAAGCATCCATTGGGGCCTAAGAGAATTGGGGGCCAGGAGGGGTCAGGGGGTGAACTCCTCTACCCCAGATGTATACCAGGTCACCCCAATCCCTTCCCACCAGATGTGCTTCTGGACTGGAGCTGGTCCCCAGAAACAACAAAGAAGCTGAACCTCATCTTTGGGGGAGCAGCGAGGGGGTGCTGGCCTCCACCTCATCAAGGAGCAGCAGGGGAAGGGGGTCCCAGGAGGAAACTGGGACCCTACATGGAGCAGTGGGTTGGGGTGGAGGGAAGAAAGCAAGGGAGGGAGCTGGAGCCATAGCACAGGGGGAGGGCAGGGCGTTTGCCTAGCACACGGCCCCAACCTGGGTTCAATCCCCGGTATCCCACATAGTCCCTCGAGCACCGCCAGGAGTGATTCCTGAGAGCAGAGCCAGGAGTAATCCCTGAGCATCACCGGGTGGGACCCAAAAATCCAAAAAGAAAAAAAAAAGAATGAAAGGGAAAGCCCACCTTGAGGAAGGAGAGTTTTGCTTTGCTGATCAAGTTCTCTTTCCCAAAGAGTGTGCAGCTCACCCACCCCCAGGAAAACAAAAGAACCTTCCACCATCCAAACAAACACAGTGAAAACTCCTCCTCTGAAATGCCCCTGGACACCAGGGAACCCAGTGCTGCTTCTAGAACTGCAGGATATAGGCAGAAAACTGGGGTGGACCTTGGGGACCCCAAAAAAGAGCCTTTCCTTTGAACCCCCCAATTCAGATCAATCCTCCTGGGATTCACCTTCTTTCCTGAAGCCCAATGCCTGCTCCCCCCAAGTTCTTAGGCCACTAGGCGCCCATGCACCCCAAAAAGAATGGCTGTTTTTGAGGGGACCACACCCTCCCTGTACTCAACACCCCGTCACCAAGAGCTTGCTAGTCAGTAACCGGATTTGCAGCAAGGGGTGAGGCCCAAGCTCCATGCACCCCAAAAGCAAAAAGGACGAGTCCTGGAGAGAGACAGACAAACTGACAAACACTCCTCCAAAGGCTGCCAAGTGGAGTAACCCCTCCTTGTCCTCAACTGAGTTCTAACAGGTCACGGTGAACCCCAATTGTCACAGCACAGAGAGGTCATCCCCAGCAGGCCAGGGTGTCAGCTGTGGCCTTTGAGAACCTGGAGAGCCTTTGTTAGGGCGTCTTTGGCCCCACGGGGTCCCCCTGGGCTAAGGGGGTGCAGCGGATGCCCAGTGCCTTCTACCCACTCTTTATAGTCAACTGCCAAGCCGTGAAATTAGGTCCAATGGGAAAGAGACGCAAGAATCCTGCCGCGAACGCTCAAGAAAACGCCCGAGCTCAAGCTAAGGGCTGCGTGAAACTTCCAGTACCTTCTGTGAAACTCCCCAAGGCTGCCGGGGGTAGCGCGCCGCCCCGACCACCCGGCCGTTGGGTGACCGAAAAAACGAGCCCGTTCTTACTTAAAATAACGCTGGAGAAGGCTCTTCACTGCTCCGTGAGCAAAAGCGCACCCCCTTTGGCTAGCACCGCTAGTGGACGCTCAGCCGTTTTTCGGGGCGCAGTGGCGGGGAACGGGGCTCTGCGGGGCGCGCAAGCCACAGACTTCATCGCGGCCTCTCCTCCGGATTGGGGGTGCCATCTCTTCGAGAAAACCAACACGCAGAAACCCCCACATCCCTGCGCCCCACGACACAGGGGAAACTTGGGGGAGAAGCACCCAGCTTGGGACCCCCGTTAATTCGCAGGCGCGGCCAGACCGCGGGCGAAACGCTCCCGAAACGCTCCCTCTGTCCTTCCGTGCGCGACCGGTTCCGAGCGCCCAGGCTGGACCCGGACTTCAACACTTGGTCCCGGCGCTTCTCCACCCTCCCGTTAGCAGCCGACGGTCCCCGACGGCCGCGCAGACGGCGGCTCCGGAACGGGAACGTCCCCGGGGCGCGCCCGCCTCCGCGCGCGCGCGAGGGCCAGAGCATCCCCGGGTGGTCTCCCGGCTTCCCTCCGGAGCCGGGGGACGCGATCTTCAACTTCCCGCCAGCAGGGGTGAAGTTGCGTTCGCCGCGCTGGGCGCTCGGAGGGTCCCCTTGGGAAGTGCAGAAGTCGGAGACACCGGGAGGACGGTTTGGGGAGATGGGGGGCGGGGGGGACCGGCCTGGATTTGGTTCCCGGGGTGCATCCCCGCCGCCCCCCCCAAACAACACTCTTGCTCGCCCCGCGGATTAGGGAATGCGGAGACGAGCGAGCCACCAGAAGCATCCCCGACGCTGTCACTTCGGGGTCCCTAAAGCCCCTAGAAACGCGCTCTGGACGCGGTACCCGGCGCCAGACGAACGCGCAGGGTAGCATCCGGGCCGCGTCCCGCATCGGCCACCGGCCACCGCGGCCAGCCCTCTGCCGCCGCTCAGATCCTCCCGGTGAGAAGGGGGTGGGGGAAAGGGGGGTGTCTTACGTGGCACCGGCACACCGAGCATCTCCGGGAGCGCCTTGACGACAGCCCCCTCCGCCGAGACCGCTGCGCTCTGCATGGTCCCTGGGACCCAGCCCGGGGGGGCGCAGTCTACGGAGGTATCCGGGTCCGGCTGGATGCGGGGAAATTTGAAAACGATCGTAAACCGCGGGCCCTCCCCCGCCCGCGCCCCCGACTCTCTCCCCCTCCTCCCCTGCAGGCGGCCGGCGGCGTCACGGGGCTCGCGACCCTCCCCCCCTCGCTGTCCCTGGCGGGGCCGAATCCACAGGCTGGCGGCCCCCTCCCCGCGCGCGGCCCGGCCCGGCCGCTCTCCGGTGCTCAGCCCGCGACTGCTGCAGCTCGGAGGGTTTTTTTCCCCTCCTCCTCCCTCCGTCCCCCCGCAGATTCGCTCTCTCCCTCCCTCCCTCCCTCCCCCCGCCCGCCTCCCCCCTGCCCACCCTTCGCGTGCCGGGAGGCCGCGGTCACCCGGCCCGTTGGATTCATTCACGGTTGCAGGAGCGGCCGTGACGTCGCTTTGCGCAGGGGGACGCGCCCTGCAGCCAACGGGAGGGCCCGCACCGCCCGGGGCCGGCTGGGGGGTCCCCGGCGCGGCCCCCCTCCCCCGGGAGGCCCGGCGGGGCGCGGAGGGCGGGGCCGCCCGGGGCGAGGCGGGGCCGGCCGCCCCCCGGGTATAAATGCGGCAGCAGCAGCAGCGCCCCGGGCCGCGGCAGCAGGTGGTCTCCGGCCGCTGCCACCGCCACGCGCCGCTCTCCGGGGGGCACTTGGGGGCGGGGAGGCCCTCCCTCCTCGCCCTGGGGGCCGCGCGCCCCACCGCGGTGCCCAGCCAGTCGGCGCATCCCTCCCCGCCTCTGGGTCCCTGCCCGCCGCCCCCCTGCCCTGCCCTGCCCGCCCGCTAGCTGGACCAGGGACAGCCCGTCCTGCGGCCGGGGGACAGCGGCCAGGGTGGCGGGGCCCGGTCCCCCTGCAGGCCTCGGCCTGCAGCCTGGCTCGCATCCCCCCACCCCTCCCCCTCCTCCTCCTTCTCCCTCTCCTCCTCCTCCTCCTCCTCTTCTTCCTCCTCCTCCTCCTCCTCCTCCTGATGTTTCCCCCCCACCCCACCGCCCCCCAGCTCCGCCCGGTCCGGGGGGGAACCTTGAACCTGCAGTGACCTCGTGTGCGCGCACCCGCATCCCGGGACCGTGCAAGTCAGGCGCCCTTCTTCCACCCTCCACGCGACATCCCGGAGGAAGTAAGACACAACCCCCCATCCCCCACCCCCAGGCGCGGGGCGAGGACCCAGGAGACCCCCGTGGTGGACGCGCACCAGGGGAACCCATCCCCCCGCCCCCACCGGCCGCCAACCCCCCCCAACCCCGGGGGCGAGGACCCAGGAGACCCCCACGGTGGACACGCGCCAGGGGAGCCCATCCCCCCACCGCCACTGACCTCCCTACCCCCACCCCAGCCCAGCCTAAATTTCGTTCCAGAGTTCCAAGGCGGGACCGCAGGAGTCTCAGCCCCCTCCCCACGTGGGCCAGCTGGGGTTTGGGGGAACTGGGGGGGGGGTCCTGTCTGCAGGCTTGTCCCCAAACCAGGCTGGTGAGGACTCAAGGGAGGGTGGCCGGGTGCAGGGCGCACGCGTTTGGTCTTCTATGCGGGGGACTGGCCAGCTCGCAGGGGTCCTGGGCACGGTGGGGACCACGACCCCCGTTTACCTGCGAGGTGACTCCCCAGCTCAAAGCGAGGAACCCGCAGCGAGCCCGCTAGGGCGCACGGAGCGTTCGCCCCAGAAACGCACTGAATTCGCAGCAAACGCGAGCAAACGCGCCAGTCCTGCAAGCAGACGGAGACCCGAGCGGGCCACCACGGCCACCGGCCTCCTCTTGAGATTCTCCACGGTCCCTGGGGGCATCGTCGTAGAATTCAGGCGATGAAAAAGAGCGCTGGGGAACGGATGCGCTCCCCGGCGGGGCCGGCTGCCCTCGATGCTCTGAAATCCGTTTACAAAGCCAGGAATCAGCCCGGAGCAAACCCATGACCAATCTGTAGCTCAAGGCATTCCCTCATCTAATCCTTCTGGAGGGTTTATATTCCACAGACATCATTTAAAAAATCGGAACACCTCTCCTCGTGAGGTAGAAATGATTTGGAAAAGAGAAAACCCTTTAATAGGGGATAAAAGGAAAGCGAGGTGTACTCATTCATTAGACAGAATACAGCTATTGAAGTTAGGGATGAAATCCAGCAGCCCGGAAACGCTGGTGAAATGCTCAATTTTTTTTTTTAGAAGCGGGGTGCAGTATTCTACGACGATAAAAATGCAAAATTGCCAGTCTAGAGTGAAAGCTCAGATTAGAAAACAATTTCCTGGTGAGGATGGAAAGAAAAACAAGGTTTTCTGGGAGCATTTGGCAACCTTTTTTTTTTTTTTTTTAACCTGTAAGTGTCATGGATTTGACCCAATCCTCAGAGGTATTTATCCACAGAAAATGCTCAAGAATATTTTTTTAAATACTGGCAAAGATGTAACTAACATATTTTAAAAGAGAGAGAGAGAGAGAGAGAGAGAAAGAGAGAGAGAGAGAGAGAAACCACATCTCTGATGATAGGGGGTCATTCAATAAATTAGAGCAAATAAAATATTTTGTTATGTCATTTTTTAGAAAATACTGCAGAAGGGCATTTAATAATGTAGAAACATGTTTGGGATTTAGTCATAAGTGCGAAGAAGGAAAATAAAGAGATTATTCAAAAATAATTAAAAAAAAATTAGTATAGATAGAAAAATGCATTTAACTATAAGAATCTTTGCAGGATGTATTATTTGCTTTCTGTCCACCCTCCACTGGTTTCCTCTGCATGTTGTATTTAAAAAAATTTTTTTATTAATGTCTGCATGTTATTTTATCAAGCAGAAATACTAAAATGATAAATGATAAATAATAAAAATCATCTTTAAAAAAATCACTGGGGGGCTGGAGCAATAGCACAGCAGGTAGGGCGTTTGCCTTGCATGCAGCTGACCCGGGTTTGAATCCCAGCATCCCGTAGGGTCCCCCAAGCACCGCCAGGAGTGATTCCTGAGCGCAGAGCCAGGAGGAACCCCTGAGCATCGCCAGGTGTGACCCAAAAAGAAAAAAATCACAAAGGGGGCACAAAGTAAGAGAAAATACACCAAAAACCCTCTTTCTAAAGTATATTAGTGGGAAAAGTAAATTAGGGCAATTTTTTTCTTCTTGTCAAATTTTCTATAATTGGTTATGTGTTTTTCAATAATATTAGGAAAAGAGAAAAACATGTATATGCGATAAAATGCAGATCCTGGGTGGCAGTTATTTTTAGAACATAAAGTTGCAGCTTCATTTATTTATTTTTGTTTGGGGGAGGGCAGGGCTCAGGGGTGATTCCTGCTCAGAGATTACTCCTGGCAGTGCTCAGGGGACCATATGGGATGCCAGGAACTGATCCCAGGGTGACCATGTGCAAGGTAAGGGCCCTACCCATTGTACTACCTCTCTGGCCCCCGAGATGTGGTTTTCAAACCGTCTCCGCAGTTTCAGGTGCCCTGGGATTAGCCTACCCTTCCCACAGCCTATCTCAGACCAGTGATGGCCAGAGCAAGTGATCTGGCCCCTGGGGCGGAAGTGGGGTGTTGCAGGGACCCAGGGGGGCCATCATTGCCCCTGGGCTGCTTTGGGGGGTTCTCTCTGTGTGTTGACTGCATGAAGTTAGATATGTTTTCTTTTTTCTTTTTGGTCACACCTGGCACTGCTCAGGGGTTACTCCTGGCTCTGCACTCAGGAATCACTCCTGGTGGCGCTCAGGGGACCCTATGGGATGCTGGGAATTGAACCCGGGTCGGCCACGTGCAAGGCAAACGCCCTCCCCTCTGTGCTATTGCTCCGGCCCCAGAAGTTAGATTTCTGGGAGCTGAAGTTAGATTTCTGGCCCCTGAAGTTAGATTATATTTTTGCAAACTAGTGAGAGGCCAAGGAAGTTGGGAGATTCTGCTCGAAGGTTTGGAGGCAGCTCCCTGACGGGGTACCTACGGCACCCCCAGATCAGAGTTGGAGGTGCCAGGAGAGTCCACTTGGCTCTCAGCCCTTGAACACGTGTCTGCAGCTGCCAGCACTGACCAGGGTACCTGCAATATAGCTTAGTCAGTACCTATTCTGGGAGGGGGGTGGTTCTTTTTCTGCTTCCTTTTCTTTGGGTTTGTTCAGGGGCCACACCTAGCGGTGCTTGGGGTTTGCTGCTAGCTACCTCAGGGACCCTATGGGATGCCAGGATCGAATCTGGGTCAGCTTCATGCAAGTGCCCTCCCTGCTGTGCTATGGCTCTGGTCCCCGGGGAGATGTTTCTGCGAGCTGTCTCATCCTGAGATAAGGATCCAACCTCACCTCCACCTTCACAGTTCCCCCAGTTGGGAATTCTAATAGGGAACATCAGCTGTTCTTAAAGGGATCTTTGTTTGTTTATGGACCGCACCTGGCAGTGCTCAGGGGACCGCAGTGCCAGGGATCCCACCTGCAAAGCACATGCTCCAGCCCTTTGTGCCATCTTCCTGGCCCCTTAAATGGGTTTTTTAGTGCTTATTGCTGTGTAAGCAAAAGAATCATGGCGGTGGTGGTGGTGATTATGGTAATGGTAGAGATGATGTTGGTAGTGATGGTCGTGTTGGAGGTGATGGCGGTGATAGTGATGGTCATGGTGATGGTGATGATGGTGGTGGTGATGATGGTGATGGTGATAATAATGGTGATGGTGTTGATGGTGGTGGTGATAGCGACGGTTGTGGTGATGGTGATGATGATGGTGATGGTGTTGATGATGATGGTGATGGTGTTGGTGGTGGTGATAGTGATTGTCATGGTGATGATGGTGATGGTGATGATGACGGTGATGGTGTTGATGATGGTGGTGATAGTGATGGTCGTGATGATGATGGTGGTGATGGGTAATGATTATGGTAGTGGTGATAGTGATGATGGTGATGATGATGATGGCTGTGGTGATCATGGTGAGAATGGTAGTGATGGTGATGGTGATGGTGACAGTGATGACTGTGGTGATCATGGTGAGGATGGTGATGATGGTAATGGTGGTGATGGTGATGGTGTTGATGATGGTGGCAGTAGTGATGGTGGTTGTGATGATGGTGATGCCGTTGATGATGGTGGTGATAGTGATGGTTCTGGTGATGATGATGGTGATGGTGATGGTGTTGATGATGGTGGTGATAGTGATGGTCGTGATGATGGTGATGGTGATAATAAATGTTGATGGTGTTGATACTGGTGATAGTGATGGTCGTGACGATGATGATGGCTGTGATCATGGTGAGGATGGTAGTGATGGTAATGGTGGTGATGGTGACGGTGGTGATGATGGTGGCGATAGTGATGGTCATGGTGATGGTGATGGTGGTTGCGATGATGGTGATGCCGTTGACGATGGTGGTGATAGTGATGGTTCTGGTGATGATGATGGTGACGGTGTTGATGATGGTGGTGATAGCAATGTTTGTGGTGATGGTGATGATGGTGTTGATGGTAGTGGTGATAGTGATGATGGTGAC